CGGGAGGCTGAGGCAGGAGAATCACTTGAACCTGGGAGGTGGAGGGTGCAGTAAGCCAAGATTGCCATTGCACTCCAGCCTGGGTGACAGAGTAAGACCTTGTCAAAAAAAAAAAAAAAAAAAAAGGAATAAGATCATGTCCTTTGCAGGGACATGGATGAAGTTGGAAGCCATTATCCTCAGCAAACACACACAGGAACAGAAAACCAAATGCTGCATGTTCTCACTTATGAGTTGGAGCTAAACAATGAGAACACATGGACACAGGGAGGGGAACCACACACATGGAGGTCTGTTGGGAAGGGAGGGTGGGAAGAGGGAGAGCATCAGAATAAATAGCTAATGGATGCTGGGCTTACTAGCTAGGTGATGGGTTGACAGGTGCAGCAAACCACCATGGCACACGTGTACCTATGTAACAAATCTTCACATCCTGCACATGTACCCCAGAACTAAAAATAAAAATTTTTAAAAATGATATGTGAACCTAGAAGTACATCATCAAGGAAGAAAAGTGATTAGGTTTTATTAGTCAAATGTTTAAGATCCTGTGTGCACAGAAAATGCTTTTAGAGATACTCTTTTATTATCATTTAAAGTATTCTGAATATCTCTTTAATTTCTCTTAGGGTTCTATAAATTAAATGAAACAGCAATGTGTGGATCGGAGAGCATAAGATTTATTAGCCATTATAAAGATGATAATACCATGAAAATGGCAAAAAGGCAACGTGTTAATCACTTCACAGTTACAAGGAAAAAATTCGCACGTTTCAGAGAGGCAGCACACAGGCAGGGGTCTTGCTGGTCTAATGGCTTCAGCCTGTCCTTTAAAGGAAAGGAGAGAATTTTACTAGCCAATTTGAGGCAAAAACTTGGCTTTAATGATTTGTTTTACCCGTTATTAGTGGTAAACCCCAATTATAATTCTGGGGTTCCCTAGGTTGTTGCCTTTTATTTCAGAAAGTATTGCACAGCTTCCAAATCAAAATTAAATTTATCTTTAACTTAAATATCTGCTATTCAAAAAGAATGGGGCTCATTTAGTTCTATGGGGATCAGGTGTCACAAAAGCAAACACCCCCATCACAAACTACAAATATATATAGAAATGAAATAAATTAAATTTAAATGTAAAAAAAGCCATTATGATGGGACTAGAGTCTGTGCCACATATACCATCAATTAATTAAGTCCCATGTGAAAATAAGAATAAGCCTTACTTTCACCCTTACAGTGGACGTAAGTTTTATGGATCATACTCTGTCTCTTCAGCCCCTTTAACATGCCTGCCACTTCTCTATGAACATGCATCACCACCCAGTCCACCCTCACTACACACACACACACTACTGCTAGTCTTCCAAAAAAGAGTCCAGGGGCAGGCATTGTTTTCTCCTGCATTGCTCTGCACTTGGGATATCAAAAACCCAAACCCAGGCCCAGGATTCATTACCCTATTGTCTTCTTCTACTCAGAGTAAATCTTCCTACATTTCGTAAGTATTTAATGAGCATTTACTATGTGCCAGACACAGTTTTAGCTGTGAGAAATAAGAGCAAAATCAGATACACTCATCATTCTTTTTGATATTATGATTAATGAAAGGGGACAGATATTAATCAAATAGTTAAATATGTATCAATGTGGAACAACAGTGTTGATTATGAATGAGAGAGATATAGGCCACACAAGATTACAAAACAGAGGATCTGACTAAGTCAGAGAAGACCAAGAAGGCTTCTCTAGGATGTGACACTTAAACTGGGATGCAGAGGAAGGGAAGTCACTAATGAGGCAAGGAGGGGAAGAGGGAGCACTCTATGAGGAAGCCCAAGTGAAATTTCAACTGGGAGTTGATTGTTGAGTAAGTCCTGCCACTTAATTAAGTAGAAGCCTTTCTGTTCTTTTTTATTTATGGCATATTCATTCATTTATTGATTTAATTTATTAAAAATCTTTCTGGGTTTGTTAAGGGCAGCAGAGGTATCAAGAATGAGAAGCAAATATGACATCAAAAGCACAAGCAATGAAAGCAAAAATAGACAAATGGGACAACATCGAACTTAAAAAAGTCTGTGCATGAAAAGAAACATTCAGTAGAATAAAAAAATCAACCTACAGAATGGGAGAATATATTTGCAAATCACATACCTGATAAGGGGTCGTCTTCAGATTACATAAGAAACTCCTACAACTCGACAGCAACAACCACCACAATTACAACCAGAATAAAACACTGGCAAAGGACTTGAACAGATATTTCTCTAAAGAAGGTATACAAATGCCAACAGGCATACGAAAAGATGCTTAACAGCACTATTCATAAGAGAAATGCAAATCAAAGTCACAACGAGCTATCTCCTCGCACCCTGTAGGAGGGTCGCTATCAAAAGATCACAAAACAACAAGAGTTGGCAAGGCTGTAGAGAAATTGGAACCCTTGTGCACTGTTGGTGGGCCTGTAAAATGTTGCAGCCATTGTGGACAACGATACGGAGTTTTCTCAAAAAATTAAAAACAATTACTGTTTGCTCCAACAATCCGCTTTCTGAATATATATCCAAAGAATTCAAAGCAGAACCTCAAAGAGATACTTGCACACCTATGTTCATTTTTTCACGACAGCCACAAGGTAGAAGCGACCCATATGTCCACTGATGAATGGATAAAGAAAATACAGTATATACACGCAATGACAAAATATTATGCAGCCTTAAAAAAATAAAGAAATCCTGTCACATGCTACAGCATGGATAAACCTCCAGGACATTATGCTAAGTGAAACAAGCCGGTCACAAAAGGACAAATACTGTATGACTTTACTCATATGAAGTATCCAAAGTAGTCAAAAATCACAGAGACAAAAAATAGAAAGGTAGTTTCTAACTGGGGGAACTTGGGGAGAGGGCATTAGTGATTAATAGGCACTGAGTTTCAATTTTGCAAGATAAAAAAGTTCTAAACATCTGTTGCTGCAAGACAATAGTTAAGACTTCTGAACCGTACATTTAAAAAAATTAAAGACATTAGCTTCCGGTTCCAGGAAGCCATGGCTCACGATGCAGACATGTCCAAGTCCAAGAACCACACCACACACAACCAGTCCCGAAAATGGCACAGAAATGGCATCAAGAAACCCTGATCACAAAGATACAATCTCTCTCTCTTTTTTTTTCAATTGAGACGGAGTCTCGCTCTGTCGCCCAGGCTGGAGTGCAGTGGCTCGATCTTGCCTCACTGCAACCTCTGCCTCCCGGGTTCACACCATTCTCCTGCCTCAGCCTCCTGAGTAGCTGGGGCTACAGGTGCCTGCCACCACGCCTGGCTAATTTCTTATATTTTTAGTGGAGACAGGGTTTCACCGTGTTAGCCAGGATGGTGTCGATCTCCTGACCTTGTGGTCCGCCCGCCTCGGCCTCCCAAAGTGTTGGGATTACACTACGTCTGGCTGATATGAATCTCTTAAGGGGGTGGACCCCAAGTTCCTGAGGAACATGTGCTTTGCCAAGAAGCACAACAAGAAGGGCCTAAAGAAGATGCAGGCCAACAGTGTCAAGGCCATGGGTGCACGTGCTGAGGCTATGGAGGCCCTCGTAAAGCCCAAGGAGGTTAAGCCCAAGATCGCAAAGGGTGTCAGCCGCAAGCTCGATCGACTTGCCTACATTGCCCATCCCAAGCTTGGGAGCACAGTGAAACCCCATCTCCACTAAAAATACAAAAATTAGCTGGGCATGGTGGCGTGCACCTGTAGTCCCAGCTGCTCGGGAGGCTGAGGCAGGAGAATTGCTTGGACCTGGGAGGTGGAGGTTGCAGTGAATCGAGATCACACCGCTGCACTCCAGCCTGGGCGACAGAAAAAAACTATCTTAAGTTGTAAAATTTTCCATAAAATTCTGGATGTGTCTTATCTCTTGAAATGATATTATTATCACAGGGCCACAGCTCACTGGAGCTGCATAGCAATCGCTCCCTTCAGAACGGCAAAGCCACATCTCTCTTCTAATTACTTTCCTAATATTTTTCACCACATGCTAAACATTGCATTCATTCGACCAATATTTATTGAGCACCTACTATGTGCCAGGCATTGTTCCAGGCTGTGGGGATACAAGTAGTGAGCAAGACCAGCCTTCTTACAGAGGAGCCAGTCAAAACAAACATATACATAGTTTATACAATTTCATGTAATGATGCTGCTGTGAGGGGGAAAAAGATAAATTCATTTTAGGAACAATTGTGGGAAGAGGAGGGTGATCTTTTATCTTTTTTCCCCAAAGCATAGTTTCCTCCTTCATAGTACCTATTTCTTCTAAAGGTAGCATTTCCTTCCACCTTCGATTCTTGATTTCTCCAGTTTTTTGTTTTGTTTTGTTTTGTTTTTTTGCCAAAGTTTATTGATTATCTCTTCAAAGTGTGCATAAATGCATCTCCTCCTCACTTTTCTAGAATGCCGCAGATGCCCACCACCTCATGCCTAGATGGTTGCAGTGGCTTCCCAATTGGTCTCCTTATCTCTTATCTCCACAAACTTTTCTCCCTCACCCCCGTCCACCTTCCAGCCTGTGTAGATTATTCTTCCTGGGATGTCACTGCCCATGTTGCATCACTTTTCAACTCCACTTCAAGTTCCAGGACAACAATGAGGTGTACATACCTGGGTTTTAGAGTCAGGCAGCCTGGAAGGGATAGTCTGTGTGTCCCTCAGATTCCTCACTGTAAAATGCAGATGATAATTCTCCCGTGAGAGGTCGTGAGAGGGAAATGAGAGGAGGTGTGGGAAGCGCCAGTCCAGTTCCCGGTTGGGGGACTCTCAAAATGGAAACAGCGTCTGATCCTCACTGCTGAGTCAAGATGGTCCATCGCTCTCTTGTCTCAATCCTTTAGAATGTATTTGGTGACGAACTGCCGCGTTAACACTATTTTTCTTATCTACCCAACTAGTTTGACAATTCTCCTAGGAAAACTGAGGCTTTTCTACTCAAAGCCTCAGGGAATCCTGCACATAGCAGGCATTCTGCCTTCATGGTTGAACAAGTTGGGCCTGCATCAGTGTCAGGCCAGGGTGGCAAGTGGGCTGAAGTGCAGCCTGCACTCTGCTGTGAGGCCAGCACCTGCAGGACTGCACCCACTGAGGCAGGGTGGAGGCCCGGGGGGTGCAGGACAGTAGATGTTCATGTTCTCTTCTCAAGTTGCAGCTGGAATTTTGACCCTGTGAAGACCTCCCTGACACCTCCCTGTGCCCATTCCCCTGCGGTGACACACAAAGTTGTGTGATAATTATTGGTACATGTATCTCTCTCTTAGGCTGCATTTACTAAGGGCCAGTGCTCTGTGTTCATACAGTTAATTTGGGTGCCTGGTACTTAGGAAAGCGTTTAATGATGATTACAGAATGAAAGATGACTTTCAAGGAAAGTCCGAATGGGAGGCAGAAAAACCTGCAGCATCAGGACAGAGTTACAGATAAAATTTAGAGAGGAGACTTGAGGTGGGAGGAGTGTGGAGGCTTTGATTCCTAGTTACTACTCTGAGTGGAAACATTATCATGCTAGCTCAAACTTAAGGTACAAAGCAGAATTTTTGCATCCATGGATGACTACAGACTTTGTTACAATCTGTTTTTTTTATTTTTTATTTATTTTTATTTTTATTTTTTGAGACGGAGTCTCGTTCTGTCACCCAGGCTGGAGTGCAGTGGCCGGATCTCAGCTCACTGCAAGCTCCGCCTCCCGGGTTCACGCCATTCTCCTGCCTCAGCCTCCCGAGTAGTTGGGATTACAGGCACCCGCCACCTCGCCCGGCTAGTTTTTTGTGTGAGACGGGGTTTCACCGTGTTAGCCAGGATGGTCTCGATCTCCTGACCTCGTGATCCGCCCGTCTCGGCCTCCCAAAGTGCTAGGATTACAGGCTTGAGCCACCGCGCCCGGCCTTTTTTATTTTTTAATACTATTTTATTTATACTCACATATGAAAAAATGGTTATACTATCATGCTTACATAGATGCTAATATTGGAAACAGCATTCAGTAACAAATTACATTTAGATTTTATAAAGAACACACAAACATTAAAACACTGATTGGTTATAGGAAGCGGAGTTTGAGGAAAAACCATTAGCTATAATTTTTATTTTCATTAAAGAGCAGCACCCTCTGAGAAGAATCAATCAGTAACATTCATCTATACCATAAAATAATAAGTACAAAGGAATAGTTAGTGATTGTACTGATTTTGCTTTTACTAAGCCATTTTACGTTCCTCGCACTCAAGGCGAATAAATAAAACATAATCTGAAGAAAAATATCTCCTTATTATTATTTGCAATAAAAAAATCGGCTTCATTCTGCAGGCCTGGGCAGATTGTACAATAGAGAGCACTTAATGGCTCAAGTGGATCAATGTACCGGTTTGATTCTGATCCACGGAATAGAATCTCATCCATATTTGGTGGCTGGACTAACTCCATGGGAGCTGTGACAGACTGAACCATTTTTGTGGTATCCTCAGATCTCACTAAATAAGAAAAGACCCTACCCCAGAAAATATAACAATTGATCTGTCCATAAATTTTATCTATATGCTTGCTCTTCAGTATAAGTTGGAAAAAGGGGCCTTTTCTTGAGCACATGGATAAAAGTACTGCGGTATAAAGATTGCTGGATCGATATTGTGTTGTTATAATAAAGATAAGGTACACATTGAAACCATTGTCCGATTAAGAAACTTCCACAACTTGTCTCAATTCTTCAAAGAATGGAGTACGTTTCTTTTCTAGGCTGACAATTAGTCCTGTATTGGCATTGCTGCTGGCTATGAAACTCACTACCAAAGGTAATGATTTAATTGAATCACCTGGTAGGTGTAACAGTAACATGATACTTTTATTTTTTGAAAGTCCAAGTTTGCTCCTTTGGTCTGTTGCAAGGGCAAAAGTAGATGAGAAACCAGGTCTCAAAGCACGCTCTGGAGCATTATCATTGGCCACTTCAAAATAGGTACTCCAACTCTGACACAACATATCATGGAGCCCTTCAACACTTGGCAACATTTTATACATGAATCGCTTTAGGTCGTCCGCCATGATGAACTCCCTTCTCTTGCAGGATCAATCTCCATGACTGGGAGTTCTGGGCTGCCCGGTTCTCTCCACTGTCACTTCAGGGACAGCTTCAAAGACCACAATCTGGTTTTATGTTGGGTATATGGCAAATGCAAAGAATGGACTCTCTCTTGGGGTAAGGAAGCCGCCCTTCCTACCACTGTTTTATAGCCTGAGGGAGCTCATGTTAGGCCAAGACCTTAACGTCTTTCAGAAAACAGATCTCAGTTTTGCCGTGGTTTTGAGGTCCGGAACCAAAATTTCACTGGCGGTTCTACCAAATCACAACCTCTGACTGAGTCTCTCCTCTCATATGATTCCCATAACAGAATGTTTTGGTGGAAGTTCTGTTAAGCAGTAAAACCACAGCCAATCAAGAAATCACCGATAAAGCAAAGTCTAGCTTTCCATTAACCAGGACAGTCAGCTTCTGTAAAATGGAGTGTCAACACTGCGCCTTCTGTACTAGGCCAAGTGCTTTCTCCTTCTTGGAACTCACCAGATCTTACTGTTCTTGAGTGGAATGTATTAACTTTCTATACTAGCCTTGAGGAATACATGATAGGAATTCTATCAGTGACAGACTAATGTTTAGGCAGGAAAAAGTCATCATCATGCAGAAATATCCTGGTATGTAAATGAGAACGTACAGAAAAAAGCTGACTAGACATACTCTAAATCAAAGGCCTGCCAAGAGTCAAGAGAATTCCGCGAACTGAAAACGACTCCATGCCAGAATCATGAGCCAGCGCTGCAGAGGTTATAATTTCTTTGTCTGCATTGTGTCCTCCGCATTATGCTCATATAGGAGAAGAAAACTGAGATAGTGATTGGGCCATTTCTTTTCCTAATTTAATTTTTAAAAACTTGAGCCACAAGGTATCAATTCTGAGGACCTAATTAGCTTACTGACAATAAAGTCCACAACCAGCATAATCCTTAAAATATAATCTGTAGCCCTTACCAGTTCCGCTGTTTCCTGGTGTTTCTCACCCAGGAGGATCTCAAACCCAACACGTAGCCAGGAGCAGAGGTATCTGGGCCAATGTAGAAAGAAGACTTTGGGGTTAAGGCATGGTATTTAAGGTTCTGCTGCAAATGTTGCTTTAAACAAATCACCATTCAACTACAACGGTATAATAATGCAAAAATATCATCTGCCATGAAGAAAGTGCAGTGCTTTGAGAACTAGAAAAAGCAGTTAAATTTAAGGCCTTGCTTTATATTTCGGAGCTGCTATCGGGGCCTATTGGACGTATGACTTTCCGGCACACAGGAGCAAACTGAAAACTGCCCTGTGTGGCTTTATTCCACGTTCACCCCTGCAGCAAATGCCTTTTCTGTGAGGACCTAAGGGCTGATGGGGAATCAAGAAGTGGTTCCTCCCAAGTGGCGTTTCTGAGTGGGTTCCAGGAGTCCACAGTGACCTTAAGAGGCAGGCTACTTGGGGGGCAGCCAGGCCGTGAGACGAGAAAGTTGTTAAGTAACATTGCTGTGTGCCCATAAGTTTGTATCTTTTATTAGATTAGATAATATATCTCACATGCTGGGTTGTTAAGCAAATAAATACGCGTAAGGAAATTACAATCCACA